TTTCTTCATTGACTCCAATCAGTCTTATGTTATTCTTCTTTGCATCATCTAGCAGCTGCTGGATTGATTTCTTGTGGTCCTTTACAATTTTAAAGCATTTTTTCTTTTCCTCCTCACTAATTGCAATCTTATCTTCTATATCTGAAATTCTTTCCTCACATTGGCTCATTTTGCTGTGTAGACTTTCAATGGAGTTTTTAATCTTCTGGAAATCTATTTGCATCTGTTTTATGGATTTCATTTGTTTCCTGTGTTGGGATTCCATCATGTTCTTCAGCTCCTTTCTAGATTTATTAATCATGTCTTGCACTAGTAGCACAATCTCTGTTGTTATCTGAGAAATTATTTCTGATTTCATTTCTTCCAGATCCTCTTTTGTTGCCAGTTCAGGGAGTATCAGAGTGTTCCATCTCATTTCCCTTTGCGGTTTCTATAGGTGATCTAGAAGTCTGTTTTTGAGACTTGTTTACATGTCTTCTCATTTTGACAGGGTGGTATTGGGGCCAGGGGCGGGGTGTGTGTGCTGTTGGCGTCTGCGCTGCTCACTTCCTCTGCACTGGGAGCAGTGGTACGGCAGCCTGGAATCCCCTTTTCTGCACTGGGAGCAGTGCTTCAGCGGCCAGGAAGCCCTTACCTCTGCCCTGGGAGTGCTGGTAAGGTGGCATGGAAGCCCCTTCCTCTGCTCTGGCTGTGGTGTTATGGCGGCCTGGCTCTTGGCATTTCTTCTCCGGGGCCATCCTCCATATTTGCAGCTGTTGACGTACTCTGTAGAATGCTTTTGTCTTTACTAGACGAGATGAGTCTGTGCGTACTTGTATTTATTTCTGAAACTTTTTTGACTTTTGTGCGTATTATTATTAATGAAATAATTCATTTCCAATCTGCATATGCCAATGTATTATGAGTGTGAAAGGAGAACCACTGTTTACTATTAGGGGAAAGTTAAAAGTGATTTATTTTTGTTGAAATGGGGGTCTCTCCTTGTTGCACATGCTAGCCTTGAACTCCTGGGTTCATGTGGGCCTCCCAGCAACACTTTAGCACCTGGTATAAAGTTTATACCTCCAAAAGATTTGAGAGAGATGGGCACTGAGCAGAAATGGAAAGTGAAAATAAGATTTGGGCAAGACAACTGGAAGAGTTGAAAAAATGTTGTAAAAATATAGAGAGATTATCGACTCACCTTTCTTCATATGTATCATTAAATTCATGTTGTAAATTAAAGTAGTAAAAGTGCAAACTGTGGATGAAACATTATAGATGTGATTATGTATATGTTTTAAATCAGTAGGTATGTATGGTTTGGCCACCTGCTTTCCATTCCCTAACCAATTCTGGTCCTGATCATTCTGGGTAAGAGGGCTTCCTCATATTTGATAGTTGAAGATAGTCAAGTGTATACACCCTTGGGAAATGGCATTTGCAATTTGGGAATGCTCTCTAGTACTGCCTTCACCTGTTTTCTTATCTTTCAAGGGAGAGCAGGGTTTTAGTCAGCCGTTACTATAACAAACATCTGAGCCAAAAGAGAAAAGGTTTATTTTGGCTCACAGTTTTGGAGGTTCCAGTCTACAGTTGGTTGGCCATGTTGCTTTGGGGGCTGTGTTGAGGCAACACACCATGGCAAGAGTGTGTGGTGAAACAAATTACACATTTCATGGGTGGGAAGTGAAAAAAGCAGAGGAAGAGACTGGGGTCTTACATTCCTTTGGAGGGTGTGATCCCGGTGACACAAAGCCCTCCTACCAGGCCCCACCTCTTAATGCTTTCACCCCTCCAAGTAGCACCACTCTGGGGATTAAGCCTAACACGTGTGCCTTTGGGGGATCATTCCAGATCTAAACTATATCAGTGATTCTTGTAACTACAGCAAAGGATAACATTTTAAAAAAGGTATGGGTATGAAAACACTTTGGAAGTAAGTAAATAAATATACTATAGATGCTGCAATATTATTATAATGGAGTATCTGTGACTCTGTTTTAAGAAAATGTCCATTGCAGACTCAGGTTTCATGTACAAAATCAGATAACTGTTTTACTTTCTTATGTGACATTCTTAAACACTATAGTTTGAAAAGTCTCTTAAACACTGAACAAACTGAATTAAACTGGTAAACTAAAATTTAAGTTGATGGGCTAACTTCAGTGATTTGGAAGATAGTGAAGATGTTAGAGAATTGGTTTTTCTCAACTTCTATGGAGCATCCATAATTTAAAGAAGCCTAGACATGCATTCAGACTAGCTGGTCCAATTATCAGTTGTACTTTTTTTTCCCCCCAGTACTAGAGATTGAACTCAGGACCTTGAGCTTGCAAGGCACCACTGAGCTAAATCCTCAGCCCTTCAGTTGTGCTTTTGATGGTACTTGTCTCTCTTGCTCTGATTTTAGTCCATGGATCCTTCTTACATTTCACAGGGGTTTATAAAGGATTCTTGTAGTACTAACAAAAGGTTTGCCTTGCTTAAAGCACTACCTGTTCTAGTCTCTTGGTTTTCAAGGACAATAGCCTTTTAAGTTAACACTTTTCATTTTGGAAAACAAAACTGCTATCACATGGTGGCTTTTAATTATGTACATGTGGACTGTCCTTTAATTGGTAATTAGCTTTTGTATACTGTACTTTTAGCAAACACCCATCTCCACACAGAGGCTGTGGGGTCAGTGGATCTGATTTTGAATCCTGGCTTTGACCTTTGGAAAGTTACTTAAACTTAAAAAAAAAAGTCTTTCCTTATCTCTATAATAGTATGATAATCCATACCTCAGGAGTTAGGGACGTGTTGTTCAGTGATAGAATATGTGCTTAGCATGCACAAGGCTCATGGTTCAACCCCTGAGCCCCCCAAAAATGCATATATCAAAATTGTGTGTGTGTGTGTATGCCTTATAGGTTAATGAAAATAAAAAGAGAATTTATATAAAGTGCATGGGCATATGACATAGAAAGCACTCAATAAGTGCTCCCTTTTTCTCTGTGCCAATGTTGGAACTTCATTTTGTGTCACAGATAAAAAGACAAAAACTTGGAAGCTCTATACCCATTTAGTTGACATGGTAGGTCTGGAAACCATTTGCACTGAGGTGAACTAAGAGGAATGTAGTATTTGTTGTTGTGTGTGTCCAGCATTTTAAAAGTTCACTTTTCCTTAAATATCAGCACGTGTTGTTCAATCTCTGGAATTTGAACATTTACATTTTATGGCTCTGGATGCTCACCTTGAATGTGTATCCAACAACTGGAAGGAGAGGAGCCAGGTAGAACAAAAAAATAAATGAATAAGGTTTATGTAGTTATCCTGGCCCATACAGTCCTCTTTGAAAGTAAATCTAAGCAACATATCACTGATTATTTATTTACAATGCAGGAGTGGGGATAGAGGTGGGGGAGGACATTTACCTTAACTAGTTAATGATTTTATGACATGTTTTTTTTTTTTTAAATCTCTCTAGCCTCTGTTCCATCCTTATCCCATCTTTGTCGTTTGGAAATTCGGGCCAGCCTAAAAACAGAACACTTAAAATCTGACAGTTTTATCCGGCAATTGCCGCTTCCTAGAAGCCTACATAATTATTTGCTCTATGAAGAGACTCTGAGGATGAATGAGGTTCCAGAACTGGCAGTTCACGATGGAGAAATCAGTGAAGCTACTTAACACAGTTTATTTCTTACTCTGAAAACCATCAAGACAAAAGAGCCATGGTGTACAAATTATTCATGATTTTGTAGTCACAAAAAATGATTTTTGTTTGAGCAACTGGTTAGAGTTTAAAGGGCAGTACTGATGTGAATGTTTACAGCTGGTTGTCTCGGTAAAAAAAATGTAAATTTCACTTACACTATTTTATTGGAGTTTCATTATCAGCACATTTTATGTTGTAATATTTGTTTACCTCACCATTGTCTGCTTTATTCTGCCAATGTGATGTTTCTTCTAGTGCCACACATGGTATACTTCCACGTATAATTTATGTTTACCTGGAGCTAGCAGCTACAAATGGAATATGTAATACTTCTCTGGAAGGGTATACAACTGTTGTTGAATTTATTATTGTTACTATTATTATTTTAGGGGGCTGAATATCTCTTATGTTTATAACAGAGTACATTTTCCTATCCTTTCATATTTCATTTTTATCTCTGAAGCCAGTCACTGTTATGAAGAATTGACAGTCATTACCTTTTCACATGTAAACTCCGGGGAATTTTTTTTTAAAAGAAAATCAGTAACATTGCTGGTCCCACCTACTGCCATTTCTTTATATTCTTTGGCGAAAATATACCTATTTCTAATCTTCAAAGGTTAAGAATGTACCTAAACTCACAGGTACACTCAAATTATAAGGTCAATTTTAGGATAAACAAGCATTTTATCACTTTTAGAATATTAAAAAGGAGACTGAGGAGACATTATGTAACATCATTTTTTAAAAGGTGCATATTCCTGAGTTATTATCACATATTACAGTCAAGCTCCATTCAGCCCCAGAATCAAAAGGCAGCTTTGTTCCTATGAAGCAGTTATAGCCAGTTCTATTAATATTATAGTGTTTTTTTTTTCTTATTCTCTACATAGATTATCAAACAGCCCATGAAATAGACCTCAAAATCCTGGATTAATGAGGCACTGCTTCATAGGTTTTTACAGTTGCTTAGTGGAAATCTAGTCAGGGAGGATAAATTCAGGACCACTGAATTGCTTAGAGGCTGTGGAGACTAGGTTTGAGAGAGAGAGAGAGAGATATGAGAGCATTCCTCTCACAGTAGACAATTTGAGATAGTACCAAAAGAGGCAAGTCTTCCATCCTGTGGGATCCTGTGGTTAAACACATGGGAGTAGAGCTGCCTGTCCCTCTGAGGTAGGCCTTTGCTATTTGATAAAAGCAGTGATGAAAGTGGGATGAGGGAGAATAACATTGCTAAGATCCAGAGGGATGATTGGTTCTTCTGTGGATCAAGTGTATAGTCTGAAATAGGTTAGATATGGAAATTCAGGTAGATTCTGATAATAACTTTCAAAATTATATGTATTATGTAGTATTTTTAAAATGTCATAACCTTTATTTTCCAAACCCTAAGTCTCTGATTTTTTAATATAACACCTTTTGGGGTGTGATTAGGGCCAAGTGTGCATAGAAAGCTTAAATTTGAAGGTGATCGTTTATATATTATTCAGCTGTATAATTAAAAACTGAATTATACATTATCATTGAGCTCTTGCTTTTGAAGATCTGAGAATCAATAGAGATGGTCTCTGACAGATGGTTTTTTTAGACTTTACAATAGTGCAAAAGTGGTGCACATTCAGTAGAAAACATACTCTCAATTTTGAATCTTGATCTTTTCCTGGGCTAGTGATGTGCTATGATCCCAGCACTCTGGGAGGCAGAAACAGCTTGAGCTCAGGCTGGGCAGCTTTGCGATTTAGGGAAACCCTATCTCAAAATTTAAAAACAGCTGGGGATGTAGCTCAATGTGAGGGCCCTTGGTTCAATCCCCAGTACCATAAGAGCAAAACAAAAACTGGGGTGCCTGGACTAACATTTAGATACAGTTCTAACCAACAGATTCCATTACTTACAGGTCTGTGTGACCTGGGGTAGTTGTTTGGAAGATAACCAGGAGTGGATGTATTTCTCCTAATAGCTCTTGTTGGATCTCTGACATTACACTTATACATTCCCTTTGGGAGTGTTTATGACTTTAGGTAAATATGGCCCATGTTTGATAGCTTACATACTCTCATGATAGTTTTATAAATAAAACCTTTGTTTTTTTCTCATTATTTAAAAAAATGTTTTAGCAAAATATTTAATGAAATGTAATATTCCTAAGTGCAAGTATCAAGATTTCTTTTAGCTTGGTCTTTAGTTGTTTTCCTCTTTGAGGCTGAATTGTTTTTTAATCTGTATTTATTGTTATTGTTGCTAAATGACAAATGACCATTGATACCATTGATACATTATACCTGACAGTAAGTAAACTTTTTTGTTCAGTAAAACCCTATAGTTTTAATTAAATGAAACTCATTATGTTTAGTGTTTCTGTGACAAGTTGGTAGAAAATATATATAGTCTGTGTTACGGCTATATCTAGATACCCCCAAAGTCTCATGTGGTCATAGGTGGGGCTTTTTGGAAGTGGCTGGATCTAGGGTGTGATACTGGGATTAAGGGTGTGTGATAACTAAATGTGTTTAGCACAGTTCTTGATGTAGATAATGGAAGCCCCACCCTGGGTGTTGGTGGCACCAACAAATAGGCTTACAGCTTGGGTGGAATATAAAGGGAGAGAGGGAAGGCAGGCTGCTGCTACTTGTTGTTTTGTTGCCTCCTGCCTGCTTTGCCATGGACTCTTTTCTCCTCTGTGATGCCCCTCTCTCATGCCACCCTGCGTTGGAGCCAGCTGTCTATGAACTGAAACCTCTACAGACTGTGAGCCAAATAAACCTTTTCTCCTTTAACTCTGGGTGTTGGGTATTTTGTCTCAGAAACAAGAAAAATAAAACAGCCTGTATCTGCAGTAATACATCAATAATTCATACTGAGAGGAGGCTGGTCTGAGTTATATTTTTTTAGGGACACATATACAGTACTTTGAAATAACTTAGTTACAGATTTTATGTTTATATCTTCTGGAGTTGCTTTAGTGAATACATTATATTTAAATTTTAAATATATTAACCTGTCATTATGCTAATAAATCTTTAAAAATTTCTCATATGAATAACAGTACCACAGTTTAAATGTTTCATTTTAAAAGAAATAACATGATATTCAAGAAAAAGTACATTTTAAAACAGAAAAAAAGGGAGATGAAGCTGTAGTTCCATCATCCAGGCCCATTATTAATGTTAACCTATATATGGAACATTTTGTTCCTCTCAGATTTTTAGTTTTCAAATCTGCACAAGTTTGAGGAAGTTTTTTTTTTTTTTAATATATAGTTACAATCAAACCATCTGCACAATTTTATGCCCTGGTCAGAATTATCTTTACAATGTTAGATATAAATAACATCTATGTTACAATGTTATTTATATATGTAGTTATGTAGCATCTATGTTAGATGTTACAATGTTATAGGTTTACAATGAAACCTATAGTCAAGCTGAGGTCTTGAGTTATTACAGACTCTGAATGGGTGATTGTGAGAAATAATGAGGCACCTCTGGGTTGATTCTTTTCCTAAGATACCTGCACAAAGCAAATGCTCCCTCCTAACTGTAAAGGAAAGAAGATAATGAAAGTGAGATCTTGGTAACCGGCTCTAGTCATCTGGTCTCAGCCTAGGATAGTCATGCACTTGCATAACTCTAGTATTAGTATGTATGGAATGTGTTTTGGTTTTGGTACCAGGGTTCGAACTCGGGTCCTTGCGCTTGCTCAGCAGGCGGCGAAACCACTGAGCTAAATCCCTGGCCCTGGAATGTGCTTTTAATGAAGACATGTAAAATACAATTCTTGGCAGTAAAGATTCATGTCTGCATGATTTTTCTGTCTCGACTTCTTTTTCATGCACTAATAGATGAAGCAAAACAGGTGATAATTGCCATTGGGAAACTAAGATTTGTGAATAGCATCTGTTTATGTCTCTTTTACCATCAAAGGTTAGCATAACCTTCTCTTTACTGCTTTCCTATGTGGATGATAAAAGTCTATCATGAGTCATCAGGTGCTAATTTATACTCTTCTTAACATGATGAAATAGAAGAAGAAAGTCCATCTGGTGACTAAATATGACTGTGACTTGAACAATTAAAAAGAAAGCATAATACTTTTGAGGTTATTATACATTATTGGATCAAATAATATATCCCAAAAATAACATTTCTAAGCTTGAATTTTTGGAGGTGGGGGGTACGGGGTCGGGGATTGAACTCGGCCTCACACGTCTTGGAAGTGCTTTACCACTGAGTGACACCCCACCCTCTGAATATTTTCTTAATTAGGAATGTGGAATCTAGATTTTGGTTTTGACACTTAAAAATTATTGTTACTTTTAATTAGACAATAAAGTTCAAACCCTTGTGGTCTTTATCTTGCTTGTAATTATTTGATTTTATTAAGTACACTCTTAAATATGCTGTGTTATTTATGTGTGTTGGTGTCAGTATGTACTTATTCATCTTAAAATATATTGATTATGGGACATTTCAGGCATATAGAGAATTATGTAATGAACCTTTTCCCACAAATTCTGTCCCTCATAGGCATTTTGAAGCAAATTCCATACATATCAATTATAAATATTTTAGTATATATCTCTGGAAGTTAAAGACTATCCTTTTAAAATGTAACTATGCTATTGTCATCCCACTTTCCTGAAAAAAATCAGCAATAATTTATTAAATACCACTAAATAGCCAGTTTGTATTTATATATTTCTATTGTTGTCTAACTTTAAAAAAAGGAGATCCCTATAATGTGATTTTTTTTCTCTTTTTTTTGGTTGAAGATACTGTTTTTTTGCAGAATTTACCATCATTTGGATTTTACTGGTTGCATCCCCATTCTATCATTAAGCATGTTTCCTGATTCTTGTATTAATTATATATTCCTGTGAAACAAATTGCTTCAAAACATTATTGCATGCTTAAGGCCCTGGATTTGATCTCCAGCATCAAAAAAAAGCACCCTTGCCCCAATACTCCATCAGATCAGAACAATAATTAATATTACCTCACTCTTTCTATGCATGAGGAATTCAAGAGCTGCTTAGCTGAGTGGTTATAGCTCAGGGTCTGTCATGAGGCTGCATTCAAACTAAAGCTGGTTTGTAGTGACCTTGGGCTTCCTTGGGCTGAAACAGCCCCCTGAGATGGCCACTCCAGTGGCTGTTGGGTGATGCCTCAGTTCTTCACTATAGCCCTCTTCCTACAGCTATTTGAGTCTCCTCACAACACATCAGATGGCTTATCCCACTGCAGTGATCTTAGAGATGGAGCAAGGCCAATGCCATGGTGTCTTAAATATTCTTAGAAATCACACATCATTTCCAATCCATTCTGTTTGTTGCAAGCAAGTCAAACAATAGCCTGTGCTCAAGGAGAAAGGCGCTAGGTAGGCTCCCTACTTTTTACTGGGAGGAGAAGCAAAGAATTGGTGGACATCTTTTTAAACTATACTTTTGCTTCCTGTAAACTGGTAGCCAGATATAGACAAGAAACTACAGTTTTTAAGGCTCCATGCAAAATGAAAATGTGGAAATCCTTGTTCAAATTTTAGGATGGGGACAGCAAAATGTTAAACCAACATGGGGCCCTGTTGACCCTTCCAGCTGTGTGTAACTCCACAGATTACACCCATGAAACCAGCCCTGGGTGTAGAGGTTGTCAGATTTCAGTTCCACACACAAAATACTTTTTTTCCCTTGTAGTACTGCTTCACAGGTCCTGGCTATTTGATCAGTAGGTAGGTCCATTAATTTTTTGTTTGTTTTTTGAGACAGGCTCTCACTATATAGTTGTTATAATTTTATTTATTTGTTAACTGTAATACTTTAAAAAAGAGAACTTCATTAAATATTTGATTACCCTGAGGTCTAGTTCATAGAAAAGCAGTAAGGGCTGGGGATTTAGTTCAGTGGCACCATGCCTGGCTTGTAAGCACAAGGTCCTGAGTTTGATCCCTGGTACCAAAAACAAACAAAAAGAAAAGCAGTAAAAGTTTTAAATCTTTTCCTTTATTTTTCTTTGTAGTATAATGTGTTGGTTTTCTAATATCCTATAAAATGTGTTTGATATATTTTTCTGTTTTCAGCCTTAATTGAAACAGATTTTTTTATGTTTTCTAATCCATTGTAGTTATTACTCTTACTGATGATCAATTGCCCAATCTTTAGTATTTAAGTAATCTTTGATAACTTCCTTTTTTAGTAACACCATAGTCCTGATTTATCTTGTACATTTCTTTTTCTAGACCTAGAATCAGATTTTTCCAGAGAATTTGGCTTTTTTGAACAATGGAATTGTATAATTACAGGCACACATGCAGAGACTTCAAATTCAGTACTATAGTTTTTTAAATTGAACTTTATTGATCTTACATCTGTGTGTCTCTCTCCTTTTTTTTTTTTTTGGTACCAGGGATCAAACTCGGGACCTTGCGCTTTCAAGGCAGACACCGGAGCCACTTTTTTATATGTTGAAAAATCCTACTTCTTAATAACACTAATAATTACTAATTTGTTTTACATACGATTCATATACTATAGTCTCAGAATAACAATGTCTATGTTATCAACAATATGATTAGTGAAAAAAGTTTTCAATTTTTCTTCTCCCACCTCAAATCTTTTTATCATTTGTATGTACAAAGGTGATCAAGGGCAGGGGATTTAGCTCAGTGGCTCCGCCGCCTGCCTCACAAGTGCAAGGTCCTGAGTTCTATGCCTGGTGCCAAAAAAAAAAAAAAAAGGTGATCAAAACTTACAGTGCATGTTAAAAATTAAAAAATATATTGCAGTAAAAGATGCATTTGGGAGATTCTTACAAGTGTGATTGTAGGTCTAGCATGCAAGCTGCCAATTCTCTTCCATAGGCCTGAGCATATGTGAGAGTAATGAGGCTACCAGCAGAGAAAGTAGTGAAACATTTAGATATTTTCTTGTCTCGTAGATGAAAAGCATGTCAATATAGGATTTTGTTTTGTTTTGTTTTGTTTTGGGGGGATGTTGGAGATTGAACTCAGGTCCCTGAGCATGCTAGGCAAGAAATCTGAATTAAAGCCCCAGCCTGTCAGTGTAGTTTTTTGGATAGTTTTTTGGTACCGGGGATCAAACTCAGGACCTTGTGCTTGCGAGGCAGGCGGCGGCACCACTGAGCTAAATTCCTGGCCCTGTGAATATAGTTTTGACTTGTATTTCTCATATTTTGAGCAAGATGGAGCATCTTTAAATGTTAGTGGGAAGAATAGATATACTTGTTATTTCCATGTGACTGCCCAATATCTCACCCTAATTGAAACATTGTCATTAACTTAATTACATATCTATGTGTCTTTTCCATTTGCATCTTCAATTCTGGACCTATACCAAACTGTTTTAATTATCAAAAATGAAGTGTGTTTTAATGCCTGTCAATACCATTTCCTCTGTATTGTGTTCTTATGATTTTCCTGGCTACTTTTCCTTGTTTGCTCTTCCAGGTAAATTATAAATAATTCTTCTAGCACCAATGTCTGTATCTAACTATGCAAGAACATGGTATGGCTTTCCTGTTGTTTACATCTACTTTAGTGTCTTAGTGACTCGCTTCTCAGTCATGAGATGGTGTTAGAAGCCTGATGTAATGACGTGTGCCTGTCATCCCAGTTGTTGAAGCAGGGTAATTGCTTGGGTCCAGTAGTCTGGGGCCAGCCTGGGCCACATAGCAGGACCCCATCACCTAAAACCAAAAAACACGCCCCTCCAAAAAAACCCCCCTTGAATATATTAGAAATCATGACTTTGAAGAGGCGGGGC